GCCCAGCCCCAAAAGGCCTGATGGTTTTGAATCTTATCCCCATTTTGATAAGCATGATGTTTTGAAGATGCCGCCAAAAGAAATCAGAAATTGTTCCATCTGATCCAGCTGAACTTTTTCCTTTTTCAAGTGATAGCGCAAAAGGCAGGACAGAAGGGAGTGTTTTCCCATGCAGGCAGAGGCCGACTGGCAGCCCCTGCTGCAGGAAAGGAGGCGATGCCAGACATGGGCACTGGCACAGGAGGTAATTGCTCTGCCACGGTCAGCCCTTGGAGGGGCTGTGTGGTGGCAGCTCTTTCCACCAGAGCCTACACTTGCATGGCCCAGCACCAGCCAAAGCTGGAGTAGCCTCTGGTGGCTTGGAGGCCTCTGGAGCCTTGGAGGCCTCTGGAGCTCGTTCACAGCCCCGGGGAAAGGGGACCCGTGAACCAACGTCCCTCCCGCTGCAGCTGCTCCGGAGCTGGCCCTGAGTGCCCAGAGGCCCAAGGCACAGGAGCAGCCCCGAGCGGGAGCCCTGCCGCGAGCCCAGGGCCAGAGCCAGCCTTGGCTCCCGACTGGGCAGGGGCTGCACTGGGTCCTGACAGGGCCTGACTCTGTGCCCTGGCGCTGGGGGAGCTGTCACGGGGCAGGGAGGGCCAGGGCTGGCAGTGGCTGCTCAGGGATGGCTTTGGCCTGTGTCCCTCCAAGCAGCCACTGCCCAAGCAGCTGCGCTGGCCCCGGGCTCTCCTCCGGGCCTGCTGGGCTTTGTTGGGTGGCACAGCCTGTGCCAAGGGGCGGCAAGGTGCCCGCAGGCCCCAGCTCTGGGGGAAACGGGAACGTCCTGCCCGCATCCACCGTGCTGCCAGCTCAGCAGCGCAGCACAGCACGGGCTGACACTCCCCATTGCTCCCACAGGTGCAGCCGGCCCCACCACACGTGTTCCAGATTCGCAGAAGAGGTGTGAAAAATGTTAATCACTTGTTTTTAAAAGTTTAAAATTTTATTAATAATAAAATGTTTATAAAAATAGCAATATCATTAGAGTGATAAAAATTTTGGACAATTTGGATTAGGAGAATAGGAGACAATAGAAACAAAGAGTTACGGACATCTGGGTACCTATTTTCTGGGGAATAAAAGTCAAAAAATAACACATGTTAATAGAGGATTAACCCTTAAAAAAAATAACCTGTTGCATATTCATGCATCTCATACATGATGCATAAATTCCATTCAAGCACAGGATTTTGTCTGGTCATCGTCAACCTCTCCCTCTTAGTCCTAACCAGCTTTCTGAGGGCTGAGCGAGGCAGGCAGAATTTAGTTTCTTCTGATAGGAGAGCAATAAATTCTTTTTCTCTGGCAAATTGCAGTGTTCTATGGCTGCTACCTCGCTATGAGCCCTTGCTTTCAAACAAGTATCTTACATAGTGTCGTTTATATTTTAACATTCTGTTATAACCTAAAATTTAATTTATAAGGCTACTTGAGAAAATCAATACAGCCTTAGTTTCTAAGATAACACATATAAATTTCATTTTAATATTTGCAAAAAGCCAATCATAAAACAAGCATGTTTCACAGAGGTTTGGAAGAGGTTGCTGTTGGGGAAAACTCTGTTTGCTTGTGATAAGGGCAAGTTTGGCCTTCTATTGGTGCCAGGAAAGGATTTGGAAGTGCTCAACAGAGCCCTGACTGAGAGCTTCCCTGTTGCGGTGCATGTTTTTGATTGTAATTCGGTCCCAGTAGTCAGTTTTATGACACCCCCTTATTTGGTATTGTTATACCATATTTTATTGCCAATGGGTTGTTCCTTTGCCCTCTGTGTTGTTGGCTTTGCCCTAGTTGTCCATCTCCCCAAAGTCCTGCCCTTTTGTTCCCTGTTCTTGCTCCCATCCAATGTCAATCCCTCCCCAAGCCTAGAAACTTCCCTATCCATTTGGTATCCTTTGCAAACCTATTGCGTTGTTTAAGTTGTCCTCCTCCCCTGTAATCCCCTATTGCTTTAAACAAAGTATTCCCTGCCTTGTGTTCCACCCTCAGTTTCTCCCAAGTGGCTGAAGACTGTATCCTCCCCAGGGACCTCCCCAGTTTGGAAATGGGTGTATGGCTTTAATTCAGTGTCTTTCTGTCGCCGAGTTGGCAGGGAGCAAACATAGAGAAGAGCTCTCCCTGTTCCTTGTCCCTACCCCAGCGCAGTCCACCTGTGCTGTAAAGCAGCTGTGCCCTACAGCCAAACCCCAGAGTTGACAGTTTTCTGGGGGTGGCCCACTCTGGGTGGTGGTGTTGGCAGCAAGTCGGGCTGAAGAAATCGGGCACTGCAGCACTTCCCAAATGAGCTCTTCTCTTGCAATAAAGAGATGGAGCTGCCAGCCCAGTGTCCGGGTGGCAGCAGCAGCAAAGCCCACCGGGCAGCAGCACAGGCTGGGCTCCATGGCCAGGAGCAGCCGTGGATGCCCACGGTGTGGGCAGGCAGGAGCCAGGCAGGGGCTGCTGTGACCAGCGGCGGGGCCCCCAGGGCTGGGGGAGCCCATGCTGAGCGTCCCTGGGCTGAGGGCACATTTCCTTCCCTGGCATCAGCTGGGCCTGGGCCTCCACCAGTGGCATGCCCAGGGAAAGAGGGAAGCCATCGGGGAGGTGCTTGCCTTGAGAACAATGGAAAGAGGCTGGACTCTGAAGGAAGTCCTTCATAGCCTGAGGGATGAGCTCAGAGCCCGACAGACACTGGGCCTGTGGCAGCCCCAGATCTCTTATGAGCAGAGTGGGGATTTGCCCCCCAGGCCTCATCTGTTCCCCCAGGGACACATGGTGAACACACACACACAGAAGATGGCTCAGCACTGGTGCTGCTCCCTGAGTGTTATGTTTGGGTCCCTCTAAAGGCATGCAGGGGCCTTTGGGCCACCTCTGTGCTGTGCAGGGGACTGGGGACACCAAGGAAATTTTGCAGGGAATTTAATGTATGTCCAAAGGTGTGCAGGGGCATTTGTAAGTTGAGCAGATCTCGGAGGTCTTTTTTTTAGGACACAGGGGGATTTTAGGGTGGCTGAGGACACCCATAAGATGTGCACGGGGTTTGGGTGTCCCCTAAAGTGTGCAGCTCCCCTGAAGGCCTGTGTTGCATTATTTTTGTCAGCTTTGGCATCAAGTTCTTCACTTTTTAAATACGGGCCAAAGGACAGAACAATGCAGAGTAGGGAGTTGGTGTCAGCATGGCAGGGCTGCTACTGCCTGGAGTAGTGGGAATCATGAGTTGAATTTTGGACTTGACATTGCTATTATATGTAGAACCACAAAAAGTCTCACTTGTGCAATATCGTGTACCTCAGTTGTGAAATAATTCGAGCTTGCAAATAGGTACTGGGCGGAACATCCTCTCCTTGCTGGAAGGGCACCGTTGGAGATCAACTCCAACTAAATCCTGCCCCAGCCATGAGGTCACAGCAGGCTCTGAGGTCACAGAGGTGCCAGAGCCCCGTGGTTGCACAGCAGCACAAGGAGCGAGCAGTCAGTGCTTGAGCACAACTGTTGCGGCAGCAGCAGCGGCGGTGGCAGCAGTGGTGCTGACATTGGGACAGCGGTGTCAGGACAGCGGTGGCAGCAAGAGCTGCGTGACTGGCAGAGGGCAAGGCAGCATGGCCCTTGCTCTGCGCCTCTTCCTCCTGCTCCTCCTGGCCGTGGCCCTGTCTGACAGGGCTGCCCAGGCTGCTCCACTGCAAGCGTGGCGAGCAGGTGAGCCGGCAGCCTGGCTCCCCTTTCCCGGGACAGTGCTCCCTGCTCCCTGGGAAGCGCTGGGGATGGTTTTCCCCAGGCCTTTAAGGGAGGGTTTCCTCTGGGGGAGGGAGAGAGCCCCCAGGGCCCTGGGCTGCCCCAGTTTCCCCTCCCGGGATGTGTCACAGGGCCTGCAAAGAGGGTGGAGAGTGACCAGGAGCCAGCCCAGAGCTCCGCAGGCCCCTGTGCAGCTTTGGCCATGTCCATTGACATCTGGCCCCCACAGCCTTACCCGACACCCTTGCAGTGCCCAGTTCCTGGAGGCAGAAGGGGATGCCAGCGCATCATTGAAATGGGTCTGGTCTTTGCTCCCTTCTAGATTTGGATCGTGAGTTTAATGATTTGGAGTTGTTGTTGAATGATATTTCGAATGTCTTGAAGAATGCTATAGGTAAGTTCTGAATTTCCCTTACTAGTGACATATTAATCAGTATGCAAGTGGCAAGAGCTCGTTCATCTGCCATTTTCGTTAGAGGTTAAGTCAAGGCAGAAGGGTTCTGAATACCTTGCCCTGCTCCTTTGTGGAGCCCTGAGTGATCCCACAGGATGACTGTCAGTGGGAGGAAGGAGCATTTAGCCGTCCAACCTCCTCCCATGTGCAATGCCTCTGTGTCCTTCCGTGCGGTCTGTGCAGTCACAGAGAAAAGCAGAGAGGGAAGGGGCTGGGCCCAGGGCTGTGCCCCGGGGCTGAGCCTTTCCTGCAGCCTGAGGATCTCCTACAGTGCCATGGGTGCTGCTCTGTCCTGCCTTTCTTTGCAGCTGAACCTGTTGGTGAAGGTGATCTGGCTTCCCAACCCACGTCCACGACTGAGCCTCTGGGACATGGCGAGGGTAGGTCAAGGCCTTTCCCCTGGGAGAGCTGCCAGCTCAGAGCCCAAAGCTCGGCCGGGGGGGCATCGCTGCAGGTTCCAGGACAGAGCCATACACGTGTTTGCCCTCGCCCTGCGCCATCCCCTCACCACTCCTGCGGCTCAGTGGTGCCCATGCAGCTGAGTAGAGGCGGCAGAAGCTTCTGTGGCTGTTGTGTTACAGATGTGTCTGCAGGGAGGACTCTTCCTGATCCTTCCCTCATTCCTACACAGAAGCCTGCCTCCCATCACAGGGGTGAGTAGTGTGTCCCTGCTGACCCCACAGGCTGAGCCCTGCTTCTGTGGGATCCATTAATGGGAAGAGGAAACATGTTTTTCTAAGGTCCTCTAAAAGGAAAGAACAAAGCTGCAGGACAGAAGAAAGCCCATGAGTCATCTGAACACATGAGGCAAAGGACGAAGGAAATGCAGCAGGCAGGACAAGGTGGGTGCATTTCCCTCAGCCTTGTCCTGGGGCTCAGCAGCCGGGGGCTTTGGCTGCACATCTGGACACGCCGTGCCCGGCACAGCAGGAAGGGATCCATGGCAGCCTCGCTGCCCCGCTGCTGCTTCCATGCCCTGCAAGGCTGCATGCTAGCCTGGCCTGGCTGAAGCTTCTCCCCAGCCTCTGCAGGAAGGCATTGGGCATCAGTTCACAGGCAGACCAAACAGCAGCAGGGACCACAGATCCCCTGCAATTTCCCTGTCGCCAGTCAAATCAGAATGGGCAGCTGTTTGGAGTACACAGGGCCGTGGCCTAACCCAAAATTTTATAGGGATTTCCTAACCATTCTTAACCATGTCTGTGACAAGCATTTCCTCTTGAAGGGTCCCCATCCTCAAAGGGGAACAGCCCCACCTGACCCAGCTGTTCCACATCCTTTCTCCAGAAGCAGATGGAGAGGCTGTGATGAAGGCTCAGTTTCCCGGAGGAAGCAGTGGCTCATTGGCAACTTCTGCTGCAGGAAGGGAGGCAATGCCAGGCACAGCCACAGGAGGTAATTGTTGTGCCTCTGGGCCTGAGCCCTGCTGAGTTTTGAGCTGCCCTCTCTGCTGCTTGGCACTGCGGGCACAGCCTGGACAAGACGGGCACAGCCCAAAGGAATTGTCCCGAGCAGGCTCCGGGCATTCGGGTACTGAGGTGTCCTGCTGGGCTCCCTCCATGGGAGACACGTCCTGAAACCTGGGAGCGGCTGCACGGGGTTCCCATGGTGGGGAAAGGGCAGAGGGGGAGAGCAAGGCTGCACTGGGTCCTGAGAGGGCTTGGCCATGTGCCCTTGGGATGGGGAAGGGGTCCCAAGGCCGAGAGAGATGGAGAGATAGAAGAGGGTGGGAAAGGCAGGAGAAAGGACAGGAGAGTCAGAGGGAAAAGGGGGATAGCTGTGGCACTGCCTGCTGCAGTTTTCCCCAGGGCTTTAGGAAGAGTTGCAGCTGTGGGAGTGAGAGCACCCAGGGCTTTGGGCTGCTTCAGCCGCCCCACCAGGGATGTTGCACAGGGCATGGAAAGAGGGTGCAGAGTGACCAGGAGCCAGCCCAGAGCTCCCCAGGCCCCTGTGCAGCTTTGGCCTTGTCCATTGACATCTGGCTCCCACAGCCTTACTCGACCCCCTTGCAGCGCCCATTTCCCAGAAGCAAACAGGGATCCCAGCATGCCCTGAAAAATGTTCTCATCTCTGCTCTGTTCTAGATGAGGTGTCTGGAAAGGCTTCTCCATTAGATGGACGGCATAAAGTTTTGAAGCCTTTGGAACCTCCTGCAGGTGTGTTCTCATTGTCCCACCACAGAATAATTGTTGACAACCTGGCATGAACCAGGTGACAGAAGTTGTGGTGACTGTTGTGTTACAGATGTGTCTGCAGGGAGGACTTTTCTTGTTCCTTTGCTGGTTCCTTCACCGAAGCCAGGCTCTCATCGCAGGGGTGAGTAGTGTGTCCCTGCTGACCCCACAGGCTGAGTTCTGCTTTTGTGATATCCGTTCATAGGAAATCAAACCATGTTTTCTAAGGTCCTCAAACAGGAAAGTACAAATCTACAGCACAGAAGGAAGCTCATGAGCCATCTGAATACATGAGGCAAAGGACAAAGGAAATGCAGCAGGCAGGACAAGGTGGGTGCATTTCCCTCAGCCTTGTCCTGGGGCTCAGCAGCCGGGGGCTGTGGCTGCACATCTGGACACGCCGTGCCCAGCACAGCGGGAAGGGATCCATGGCAGCCTCGCTGCCCTGCTGCTGCTTCCATGCCCTGCAGGGCTGCTTGCTAGCCTGGCCTGGCTGCAGCTTCTCCCCAGCCTCTGCAGGAAGGCATTGGGCATCAGTTCACAGGCAGACCAAACAGCAGCAGGGGCCTCAGATCCCCTGCGATTTCCCTGTCGCCAGTCAAATCAGAAGGGGCAGCTGTTTGGAGTACACAGGGCCCTGGCCTAACCAAAAATTTTATAGGGATTTCCTAACCATTCTTAACCATGTCTGTGACAAGCATTGCCTTCTGAAGGGTCCCCATCCTCAAAGGGGAACAGCCCCACCTGACCCAGCTGTTCCACATCCTTTCTCCAGAAGCAGATGGAGAGGCTGTGATGAAGGCTCAGTTTCCCGGAGGAAGCAGTGGCTCATTGGCAACTTCTGCTGCAGGAAGGGAGGCAATGCCAGGCACAGCCACAGGAGGTAATTGCTGTGCCTCTGGGCCTGAGCCCTGCTGGGGCTTGAGCTGCCCTCTCTGCTGCTTGGCACTGCGGGCACAGCCCGGACAAGACGGGCACAGCCCAGAGGAATTGTCCCGAGCAGGCTCAGGTCACTCGGGTACTGAGCTGTCCTGCTGGGCTCCCTCCGTGGGAGATACGTCCCGAAACCTGCGAGCGGCTGCACAGGGTGCCCATGGTGGGGAAAGGGCAGAGGGGGAGAGCAAGGCTGCACTGGGTCCTGAGAGGGCTTGGCCATGTGCCCTTGGGATGGGGAAGGGGTCCCAAGGCAAAGAGAGATGGAGAGATAGAAGAAGGTGGGAAAGGCAGGAGAAAGGACAGGAGAGTCAGAGGGAAAAGGGGGATAGCTGTGGCACTGCCTGCTGCAGTTTTCCCCAGGGCTTTAGCAAGAGTTGCAGCTGTGGGAGTGAGAGCACCCAGGGCCTTGGGCTGCTTCAGCTGCCCCACCAGGGATGTTGCACAGGGCATGGAAAAGAGGGTGCAGAGTGACCAGGAGCCAGCCCAGAGCTCCCCAGGCCCCTGTGCATCTTTGGCCTTGTCCATTGACATCTGGCTCCCACAGCCTTTCTCGACCCCCTTGCAGCACCCATTTCCCAGAAGCAAACGGGCATCCCAGCATGCCCTGAAAAATGTTCTCATCTCTGCTATGTTCTAGATGAGCTTGCTAGGAAGATTTCTCCATTAGATTGGCTGAAGAAAATTTTGAAGCCTTTGGAGCCTCGTGCAGGTTTGTTCTCATTGTCCCACCAGAGAATAATTGTTGACAACCTGGCAGGAACTTGGTTAGAGAAGCTTCTGTGACTGTTGTGTTACAGATGTGTCTGCAGGGAGGACTTTTCCTGTTCCTTTGCTGGTTCCTTCACCGAAGCCAGGCTCTCATCGCAGGGGTGAGTAGTGTGTCCCTGCTGACCCCACAGATTGAGCCCTTCATCTGTGGGATCCATTCATTGGAAATGGAACCACTTTCTCTTAAGGTCCTCTGAGAGGGAAGAAAAAAGGCACAGGGGAGAAGAAAGCCCATGAGCCAAATAACATCCTTAAACAAATGGTGACAGAACTGCACAAAGGGAATGGTGAGAGCATTTCCCTCAGCCTTGTCCTGGGGCTCAGCAGCCGGGGGCTTTGGCTGCACATCTGGACACGCCGTGCCCGGCACAGCAGGAAGGGATCCATGGCAGCCTCGCTGCCCCGCTGCTCCTTCCACGCCCTGCAGGGCTGCTTGCTAGCCTGGCCTGGCTGCAGCTTCTCCCCAGCCTCTGCAGGAAGGTATTTGGCATCAACTGACAGAGAGCCCAAACTGCACCATGGATCCCCCTGCATTTTCCCGGTGTCTGAGCACATCCTGAGGTGTGCCTGCTTGGCAGAGGGAGGGCCATAGGAAGCCCCAAAGGCCTGTGGGGATCAGGATTTTCCTGATTCTTATCCATGTTGTGGACAAGTATTGCCTCCTGAAGAGGCCACCACCTGCATGTGCAATGATTGCATCGGATCCCACCAAGCCTCTTCCTTTCTCAAGGGATGGACAGAGAGGCTCTGTGGAAGGCGGCATTTCCTGCAGGAAGGGAGGCGATGCCAGGCACAGCCACAGGAGGTAATTGCTGTGCCTCTGGGCCTGAGCCCTGCTGAGGCTTGAGCTGCCCTCTCTGCTGCTTGGCACTGTGGGCACAGCCCGGACAAGACGGGCACAGCCCAGAGGAATTGTCCCGAGCAGGCTCAGGGCACTCGGGTACTGAGCTGTCCTGCTGGGCTCCCTCCATGGGAGACACGTCCCGAAACCTGGGAGCGGCTGCACGGGATGCCCATGGTGGGGAAAGGGCAGAGGGGGAGATCAAGGCTCCCCTGGGTCCTGCCAGAACCTGGCTATGTGCCCTTGGGCTGGGGAAGCTGTTCCATGGGTAGGTGGGACAACAGGAGGGAGGGACGGAGATTGGGAGCAATAGCTGTGGCACTGCAGATTTCCCCGAGCATTTAGTGAGGGTTTCCTGTGTGTCAGCGAGAGAGCCCCAAAGCCCTGGGCTACTCCAGCTGCCCCTCCAGGGATGTTGCACAGGGACTGCAAAGTGTCTGGAGAGTGATCAGGAGCCACAGGCTCCCACAGCCTTACTCCACCCCCTTGCATTGCCCAATTCCCCAAGTCAGAAGGGGATCCCAGCACATCATAGAAATGGTTCTGTAGCATCTCTGCTCCCTTCTAGATTGGGATCATGACTTGGGTTATTTGGAAATGCTGGTAAATGGTGGTTTGAAGATGTTGTCAGATGCTGGAGACAAGTTCTCAACGTACCTTTCCTGACAGAATAATCAGTGTCTTATGTGGCAAGAGCTCACTCATATGGCATTTCCTTTAAGTTCCTCTAAAGGTTTTTCAGTTCTGGAAACTTTGCCCTGCTCCCTTCTGGAGCCCTGAGAGATCCCACAGGATGACTGTCAGTGGGAGGAAGGAGCATTTAGCTGTCCAACCTCCTCCCATGTGCAATGCCACTGTGTCCTTCCATGTGCTCTCTGCAGTCACAGAGAAAAGCAGAGAGGGAAGGGGCTGGGCCCAGGGCTGTGCCCCGGGGCTGAGCCTTTCCTAGAGCCTGAGGATCTCCTGCAGTGTCACAGGAGCTCTTCTGTCCTCCCTTTCTTTGCAGCTGAGCCTGTTGGTGAAGGTGATCTGGCTTCCCAACCCACATTCAGGATTGAGCCTCTGGGACATGGCGAGGGTAGGTCAAGGCCTTTCCCCTGGGAGAGCTGCCAGCTCAGAGCCCAAAGCTCGGCCAGGGGGGCATCGCTGCAGGTGCCAGGACAGAGCCATGCCCGTGTTTGCCCTTGCCCTGCACAATCCCCTCACACCTTCTGCTCAGGCCTGGCAGCTATTTGGAGGAAGGTGGGCCCTGGCCCAGCCCCAAAAGGCCAGATGGTTTTGAATCTTATCCCCATTTTTGATAAGCATGATGTCCTGAAGATGCCACCAAAAGAAATCAGAAATTGTTCCATCTGATCCAGCTGAACTTTTTCCTTTTTCAAGTGATAGAGCAAAAGGCAGGACAGAAGGGAGTGTTTCCCCAAGCAAGCAGAGGCCGACTGGCCGCCCCTGCTGCAGGAAAGGAGGAGATGCCAGACATGGGCACTGGCACAGGAGGTAATTGCTCTGCCACGGTCAGCCATTTAGCTGGGCTGTGTGGTGGCACCTCTTCCCCCCAGGTCCTGCCCTTGCATGGCCCAGCAGCAGCCAAAGCTGGAGGCACATCTGGAGGCTTGGAGGCCTCTGGAGCTCATTCACAGCCCTGGGGAAAGGGGACCTGTGCACCAATGTCCCTCCCGCTGCAGCTCCTCTGGCGCTGGCCCTGAGTGCCCAGAGGCCCAAGGCACAGGAGCAGCCCCGAGCGGGAGCCCTGCCACGAGCCCAGGGCCAGAGCCAGCCTTGGCTCCCGACTGGGCAGGGCCTGCACTGGGTCCTGACAGGGCCTGACTCTGTGCCCTGGGGCTGGGGGAGCTGTCACGGGGCAGGGAGGGCCAGGGCTGGCAGTGGCTGCTCAGGGATGGCTTTGGCCCGTGTCCCTCCAAGCAGCCACTGCCCAAACAGCTGGGCTGCCCCCGGGCTCTCCTCCCGGCCTGCTGGGCTTTGTTGGGTGGCACAGCCTGTGCCAAGGGGCGGCAAGGTGCCTGCAGGCCCCAGCTCTGGGGGAAAAGGAAAATGTCCTGCCCGCATCCACCGTGCTCCCAGCTAAGCAGCGCAGCACCACACGGGCTCACGCTCCCCATTGCTCCCACAGGTGCAGCCAGCCCCACCACACGTGTTCCGGATTCCCAGAAGGACCCTGGAAGGGATTTTTGTAAGGGAACAGGCTGCTGGATAGGATTAATTGCAGGCCTGCTTTTTTTGGAGCTTATTTTCATCTTATTCTGTGTCCAAATTTGGACTTACTGGAAGAGAAAAGGGTGAGTGTTTTGTTCACTTTTCCCTAAAACAGCTTCTTTTAACAGTCTTATGTTGTAGACAGGAAATGTTCCCAGAGAAGCTGCTGTGGTGTTGTTGCCAGTCTGTGATTGTCCAGAGAAGCTGGGCAGCCTTGCCAGCTCTGGGCCCTGCTGTGCAGGAGGCTCCCTGTGTGCCATTGGCAGCTGGGGCCTCAGCCACCTCCTCTCTCCACAGGGATGCCTCTGCAGCTTCACAAGACTGGCCAAATAACTCAGCCAGGGGGAACTGGACCTGTTAACTCACATCTCCGTGTCCGTGTCCGTTGTCCCTTCCACGGCTGCATTACCAGCTCATTGCTAGGGACAGCTTGTTGGTATCACCACCCAGAGCAGGAGCCTCTGTCCCCAAAGGTGCTGCCCCTGGTGTCCAGCCAGGCCAGGAGGTGCAGCCCTCCTACCAGGGATGGGCCTGAGCCTGGCAACATCTTTGGGGTTCAGCTCAGGTGTGTCTGTGCTACCACCAGCACTGCTGGAGCTGCTTGTCTGGGCACAGCCAGGGCTGGGCAGGCAACAGCTGAGCACGGGGCTCCTGAGACAAAGCAACCTCATTTTCTCTTTGTTTTACATTTATACACAGCAGAACATTTTAGAAATATTTAGAAACATTTTTTGTAGAAAAATATCCCCAAATATTTCTTCCCTTTTCCCATTGTAGTTTAGGATTTTTCAAAGTAGTTTTAGAATTCTGAAAAATTTGGAACACTTTTACACTTGCCAAATAAAAAATAAAACTGCATTTAATTGGTGATCATTACTCTTAGATGAACTAAGTCATCACAAGACACCCGGTGCACTGGAGAGTCTCTTTTCCCACTGGAGATTTTTACCTACTGACAGCAACAGACCTAAAGCCCTGTCCCTGATAATTTCCGGGATTTCTTACAAGCTCCTCTCTCAGTCTTCAAAGGCAAACTTTGAGCACAGTGAGAATCTCCTGCTGTGCAGGAGGGTCTCTGTGAGCCAGCTGACACTGGGGCCTGTTTTGCAGAGATAAACGCAATTCCACGACTTTGTGAAAGTTGTAAAGTTTGTATGTTTATTACTGTGCCGGATGCATGTGGAGATTCCTCTCCTTAAAAGACATGCGTACCTCTGGGAACTCCAGATCCTTTTTCATCACCCTCTCAAATAGATATGCATCCAATTTTACGATAGGTTCATATATATTCATTTCTACAAATTTGGCGTGACATTTACCACTAGTTAATCTTTATCAGAAAGAATTCCCAGGTCTCGTTGGCCTGTTCTCACAGCAGTTCCTCTGTCTCTGTGTCCCCTGCCACCCCCTTATCTCTGTCCTTCACTGAAGCAGTTTCTCTGAGCCTAGGCTTTTTACCAGTCAGACTAAACAGCTATATTTTCCAACTACAAATTTAACTCAAAGATGTACATTTCACCTAAATCAAAATGGATTTCTACTCTGGAAAATTTCTACTCTGTCTCTTTTCCCCCCTTTCCTAGAAATAAGTATATTCTTGCATCTAATGCAAATCCCTACGACAATAAGTGTCTCTTAATGCTTTAACATGTACGTTTGATAAGGAGGTTAACACAGCTGTTCGCTGTAATATTCTCCAATTTCAAATTAGCAATATAATGGATAACCCTAAACTTAGTCCAACTAATATTAACAAAACTACAACGGGATGACACCATTTATTCAGGATTATTGCATTTGGTGGTCACCCAAAGATCACATCCCACCAGTGATGATCTGCAGTTTCCTTTACTATTTGTAGAATTCTGCTTACTTCCTTGGTGTCATGTTAGACAGTAATTAAGGTTTTCTCTGTTTTCTGGAATTTCCTTCAAGATCTCCAGTAGGTCTTGGTGCTTAATTGATTGTTTTACCAATGTAAGGTCCATCCCAATAGGAGTAGGTGATAGTCTGTGTTACATTGTGTAATTGGTTTTAATCAACTGGTGGGATGTCACTGGGGCCACGTACAAAAAATCACATGTCGGAGGAAGGAGACCCAGACACCAGTTGGTTCATCCAAGTCCAATTTATTGATCAAATACGGCGGGTTAAATATAGTTCTTAATAAGCTTCATACATATTGCAAAAGTTGAGCTCAGGATTGGTTAGTTACATATCAGCAACTACACC